GAGGAGTGTGGTCAAAGCAAGGAAGATGTTGGAGATCAATGTGAAACAGAAGAGAAGAAAGGCATCATGGAGAAGATGAAGGAGAAGCTTCCTCCAGCTAAAGGTCATAATGAAGCTGCCAACAAGCTTGAACATGAGGATGGGAAGGAGAAAGGGTTTATGGAGAAGATTAAGGAGAAGCTTCCCGGAGGAAAGCCTGAACATGAGCCTCACCATGACAACACCAAGGAGAAAGGGTTTATGGAGAAGATCAAGGAGAAGCTAACCAAGCATGACGACAATGATGAGAAGAAGAAAGAAACCTAGTTAATCAAATCTTTTTTGTTTACTTTCCCTTTCAGCACTTGCTTCTTCATCTTCTTGTATTGTCCGCTCCACCACGTCCATCATGTAATGCCAACTTTCCATTTGAAAACTGGTAGATCTTTACTAAACATGAGAATTTAATGAATAAATTTCCTTAACTTTCACCAGAACACCAAATATGAGGTGGTCTAGGGGTAACACAATGGAGTTGATTCTCTTGTGTCCCGGGTTCAAATTCTCTTTGGTACGGAGAGTTAAGTTATTCTTTAAATTAGAATATTCAAAAACTGTTTTCGGGTAATGAGGAGATTATGAGACAAAGGTTCGAAACTTTATAAAAAAAAAAAGCTTTCACCAGAACATTATATTTGATGAATGTCCTTTAAAATTTTGAAATACAGGGTTTAAAAGCACTGGATGTGAAATATCGATGGAATATATTCGTTAATTTTGTCTTTTGACCCAAAAAAAAAAAGAAAAAATGTGTTTTGGAGATGGTCGCGTGTATATATATAAGTTTGGGCAGGCTAATAGAAGGGCCCAAGAAAGGCCTGTTGAATAAAACGGGAAAAAGGGAAATGTCAAAGGCACAAGACACGGAGAGTTTGCTTGTGTATGAAGTATCAACTGTGAAGTGAGAGAGACTGTCTCTCTCACGGGAAGAAGAAGAAGACAGTCTGTGACTATTGCATTTCCAGCTGCCATTGCCTTGTTCAACTTCTTCTTTTGGTGGGTCCTAATCACGCGTTGATGCAAATTGTTTAACAGATCATTATTAGCTTACCTCGTTTCATTAGGGTACGTACTTGAAAACGAAACCAAATACTACTACTATAAAGTCATAAAAAAATGTTGAAAGTGAACGGACGACACAAACTTGAGTGAGTTACCAATCCAACATCAAACCACGCGTGACATGGACTGGCCACCAATCACTCATATATTTGTATTTATGCCCGACAATTTGGGTTTTTGACATCTCTCTCTCAAGTTGACCAAGATAATACTATTGTGTTAAATGTACTTAAACAAAACAGAAAACAACGTGTAAATCTGAACTAAGAATTTCCTACGCCGCCAATCCAACTCACCGAAAACTTCATCAACATTTACGCGCTTAATCGACCAACCTCCTCACAAATTAATGTTGTCTCTTACTATATACTTTCTATATAATTCACT